GTGATTGTCTCTCGGGTCTCAGACAAATTACTTAAGATCACAGGGTTGTGAAATGCGTGCGCTTCTTGATTGATGGACCTGTCAGCTTTCACTGATGACCAGCTCCAAATGACTTTAGCTGTTATATACAAGAAACTTTTTGCCCAGTAGACAGTTTGCAAGAGACTCTGACTGACTACAGTACGGTGTAAGTAAGCGATCTGTTCAGTTCAACAGTTTGAACCTAATCTGTGTAAGGATTTAACAAGTACTGTGAAATTTCAGAATGCTGTCATATACAGTATATGTAATTACTGTATGTAAAGGTGATGATTTCTGACTCACGAGTAGGAATTTTACACGAGTTATTCTGCAGTAAAGTAATCACTATGGCCCATGGTTGTTCTTAGGACACCACTACTGTCGAAATTATGCTGCAAATATGTCATCAACAAAACAATACAATAACAAAACTAAAAGCCAATTGCCCCACTAGTTTCCCTGAAAGGCGAGTGTTAATGCAATACAAGAGCTTTGGATGGAACTGATGTTTTGAGTCTTCTTAGAGACTTGCTAGTAGAGATCAAATGTGAACGTTGTATTTGTGATTTTGTGATTGAAGTTTTTCTAGATACCTTGTTGGACCAATGAGTGGGCAAAATAACTGGGGACTATCCATCAATATCTGCACCCCATTTCATGACAATCTGGCTGTCAAAAGTCAAGTAAGATATCTTGCCAAGAAGTAGAAGTGCTGGACATACAGACAAACAGACAGCTCGACAGAAACCATTTATTGCATTAGGGTTAGGGTCAGCAAGTGGGCATTTAGACCAAAAAACAAAGTGTTGATGCTGGTATGTGCATGTTGTCCAGGCGAGAAAATGAAATGTGATTCAGAAATTCCAGTTTGAGGCAAAACATCTCTAAATTTGAAGGCTTATCAGATGCCAAAACACTGCACAGTGGTTTTTACTCAAAAAAAGTGACAGGTATTTATCAAGGTGACAGTTCTTTAATTCTTCATTGCAATGATGAGCCATGTAAACAATAGAATTATGCTGTTCACGTTATAAAGCAATCTACAGTGAATACGCACTTGAATGTATTTGATCGACCCTGTCTCCTAGAAATTATGTGTATATACTACTCAATTATTCCCCCAATTACGTTTTGATTGGAAACGTAATTACTGCCTTGAACATGTTCAGTCGCAACGTTTTAGTTCAGAAAGGGCCACGTTTTAGTAACAATACCTGAGACCAGGGTTTGCATCCTGACTCCCACCTAAGGTTCAGTTTAGACAACAAAAGCACAGATTGTTGTTTCGATTTAAATGACAATAAAGTTAACCTGTCATGCTCTAAATACGTTGTTAGTGAATGTATTGCAGATGCTTTCAGTATGAACATTTTGTGACTTGCCAGATACGTTGATTAAAACCTCTCATTGTGTTGATCAGCAGTATGTTTTGCTGTTGCAAATTAGTAGCATATAAACGCTGGCCAATGCAGTGCGTTGTTGAACGATGTTGAATTGTGTAGCGAGTAAAGTTGGACCAAGTTTAAAGTTTTTCTCCAGATCCCGTACATTCAGACACATAGTGTGTCAGTACTGTGGTCACACAGTGCTAATATCTATCTGACCATGACTGGAGACTGTTTGTTTAGATCCCACTGTGAGCCTCTGGAACTTAAAGAGAGCACACACAGTATAACAATGCCAGTTCCATATAGAGATGTAAAGTAATATTAATGTAGTTTTCAATATTTATCCCCATTAAAGCTCTGTGGAGCCAAACAGCAGAATTAAAATAATCCCCTACTAAATAATCCCTTTTAAAAACATCGATACTTGAACTGTGAGCCATGGTCTTCTGCAACAAAAACACATGTATCATCGTGCACGGGTATCTATTTTCTGCTTTGTAGTTTTTAATAAAGTTCTTCTACATTGTCTTTTTGTTTTTAGCACATGCTCTTTGTTTGAAGGATTTTGACCAGTTACAATAAAACTGCTCATAATTTAACATAACAGCTGACAGAGTAATTTGTCTATCAAAATCCATGGTGGTGGATATTTCTTGCCACAGTTTAACGATTTATTTACACCGTCCTATTGATACAGAGAGTCCTCCACAGCTGCAAGAGTGACTTTATTCTGAGTGACACTGCACGGTAAAGGAGATGGGGGAGGGTAGCAGTGGCCTTCTCCATGTGGACCTGAGCTTTCTTGTGCCTTATTAAGGAACAAAAATCTTTTCTCGTTGCACTTCTAACTGTCATGAGTGAGCATTCAGGAGACACAGTCGGCACTGAAGAGTCAAGTTATGCTTCCTCTTGTGTATTTCTCTCTGTTTCTCAGGCTGACAGCATTTTCCAAATGTACCTGAATGTGGCCTGTTCTCAAAATCTGTCACACTGCTGTGAAATATGTCACTGCAGGCAAATGCTGAAATACTCACTGTAACTCCAGGTCAGGTGTTAACTGTGTCTCCACCAGATGGAGGAGGAATGAATGAGAATGAGGACAGGATGCAACTCGCAGGCTCCTCCAAACAAGAAGTAAACATCTGGTCAAAAGGACACACTGATGTAATTCTAGTGCTTTACGAGTAGTTAATATAACCTAATTAAGAACCACAGCTTCATTGTATTTTAACAAGACTAAAAGTCTATAGCCATGCCAGTGGCTTGGTGAGGCTGTACTGAGGCTCAGCAGTGCTGTGTGCTGAAGGCTGATTTTGACATGCTCACAATGCAAACATGCTGATGCTGAGCAGGTATAATATTCACCATCATGTAACATGTTCACCATCTTCGTTTAGCATGCCAACATTAGCCTGCGCAAACTTCAAAGTACAGCTGAGGCTGATGGGCATGCCGTTAGTTTAGTCCAGGTGTTTAGTCATTAACCAAAGTTTCATGGTAATTCATATTAGTCTTAGAGAGATTTCAGTCTGGACCAACAGACAGGCCGACATTGCCATCCCTAGTCGCTATGCCGCTTGCACACAGAATAAAATACAAAATATAAGAAGAAGTGACCTAAGTAACCTACTAGACAAAGTCTATAGTTTCAATAATACATTTAAAAAATGATTTCAATAAAGGCGTTTCATCTGGCAGACTTTTTCCAAGAGAAAATCTGTAAAGTTTCCCTTTCAGCATAAATAAGTATATGCATTCATTTATTTTTGCTCTAAGCCATCAAGTGATTTATAAACTGACAGCAACACTTTATTCTATTCCCTAACTGGAAGCAAGTCTAAAGCTTAAAGAATAGGAGAAATGTGCCCAGCTCTCCAAACTTCAGCCGAATGTGTCAGCAGGGAAACACTGGAAGGAATGACTGAGGTTGGGTCATAGTGTCAACAAGTTTGGCTAACTGGCTGACCAGCTTGCACACACACGTACTGCAGCAACTGTAGTTGTAAACCCTCACTTTCTCCTGTGCGAACATGCCAAATTTGATTCTGTTTGGAGCATCCAGCCAGCGGCAGCCTAAACATGATATGTTAGAAAGTAACAAACCAAAGAGATTATGCTGAAATTTTGTGGCTGGATATCATTTTGCCTAAAGATCAGTTTGATCTGTGGCGACAGTCGTGATCTGGGATTTCTGCCATTAGAGAAGATCGGTTTTCATCCGTGACTGTTACATTCTGTTGTGTGCTGCTGTGAAGGGCCAATATATCAGCTGCCAAACTGCAGCACTGCATTTTTATCTGCTGTTTTAACTGATACTGAAACCTGGAACAAACAGGATAAGCAGATGGAAACTATTAAAGTGGCTGCAGCTTTACAAGTTATGGAACTTCTTATTGCTGGTGGAGGCGATGTGGGTTGAAACATGTTTTCTTGGAAAGTTTTTGGAAGTTTCTCAGAAAAAGTAATAATTTGCTACTATAAAAACTTGGTACTCTCCTTAATTTGTAAAGGGAATACATTTTACTCCAGAAATCCATTACCAATCACTTTCCCTTTACACAGCAGTCCGTAACTATAACTGGCATTTAGTCTGGCTGACGGTGATTGCCTCTATTCTAGACATGAGCAGCATTTCTCTCATTACAAAGCCCCATACATTCTTTTCATTTCCCCCTGCGTTACTTCTGCACAGTCTCATTTACAGGTATTCTTACAAGGTGGCGGGGCTCCTTTTGCCACGAGTCTGACTTTTCGGATCAAGTGCTTTGGCAGATTTAAGTTTGCTGCTGTGCATACTGGATTCTGACCAGGACAGTTACATTAACGCTAATATCAACATATAGCATCCAGGCTCCTCTGTCATTTCAGTTACATACCTCCATCCAGCAAGCACAGACATTCTGGTGGTGGTGGAGAACGCTGTCTAACAAGTTGCTCCAAAATCTGTGAGAGAAGGTTTCACTTGTACTCTCTTTTGCTACAGTACTTCTGCTGTTATAAATGAAAAATGGCTGCACTTTTATACAAAGTGCTTTACAATTTTTGGCTCTCATTCTTGCACACACTCACACACCAATTGTGGTAAGCTATCATGCAAGGTGTTAGTCTGACCATCAGGAGCAATTTGGAGTTTTTTGAGTGTCTTGCCCCAGGACATTTCAACATGTGCTGTTCTTCTGCTCTATACATTTTTATACTTTGATGAACAGACCAGACCTCTGTTTGTCCATTTTAATCTCACACACTACATGCTTTGTTTTTAACAGATTCACAGAAAGTTCTGACATTGAACTATTCACTGACCACTCAGGCATTCTCATCCCTGATGTTTCTACATTATGTATTTATTCAGGGTTTTCCTTTAATTTGTACCCTAACAGTAATCCAATTTTTTTTTTGTGTAATTAAATGTAATTTTGTTTTTGCAAATTTGAAAATTGTACATTAAAAAGCTGATAGGGGATCAATAATTATATTATATTAATTTAGACAGTAAACATTTTACTTTTAAAAAGATATGAATCAAGACATAAAAATAAAGTAAAATCATAAAACAGATCATGTTATAAATATGACACTGGAGACAAGATAAAAATGTATATGTATCAATGTTATTTTATGCGAGTTTATTCAGTTAAGCAGGAAATCACAGTAAATGCTAATTGTTTAAAGATTGAAAGCACAGTGTAGTGATATGAAACAGGACTTTCAGTTATGTTTTTTAAAGCAGATTTAGAGAGAAGATGACCCAGCACTTTCCTGAAGGTTGACAGATGAGGAATGTTTCACCAGATCAATAAAGGAATTAAACGGGCAGATTTTCCTGAAATGTGTTGAACATCAGACTGTGATAAATTGCTTTGTAGTGACATGACTATCTTTTTGAGCAGGTGTGACATGTAATTAAAAAGTCTGCCTCATTTTAATGCACTTTCTTGTAAATTAATTCTTCACTTTTCATCACGAGAAGCACCGAAGGAACTTGTTTGCCATATTGTGAGTGCATTTCTTATTCTAACAGAGAAAAACATTCAGTGTCCATGTTCCACTTCACCATAAGGCATCAGTGTACAGCAGACTGCTCCACAGCTGCGCTCCCTTGGAGAACAAAACCAGGACAAACTGAGCTGAGACTCCAATCGATTGCTCCAGGGTGAGACGATGCAGCATCTGGGACTGATGCTGGAGGGTCAGTCGGGGTCAAAATGTAGTGTTGGAGACTCTTGGGGTCCACTGTGAGGGTCTTCACCTTGGTGGGTTGGACCCCGTTGGGGAGGATGGAAAAAGAAGAAAGGTCAAAGGTGACACATGGGCTAACCTGGCTGCTGGCCTCATTCTCGTCCAGTTCTAATTCAGGTTAAACTGTTTGCTTGGACCTCTTTGTACCCTGCCATTGTGATTCCTGTTACCACAAAATAGTAGTAAGGAGAATGTTCTGATCTACAAATCAACTGTTTGCCAGCAAAACAGCGTAAGAAGCAGCCGCAAACTTTCTGTTTGGAGAGGATCATAGACGCTAATACAAAAAAGGGGGAAAATAAGACACCAAGTAACATCAACAGGAAGTGCTAAGAGTCTGGAGTTTGCAGTTTGCTATCATAGTTAGCATATTTCCCCTGGTGGTGTTGGTGTTGTTTTAGGGGCGGTTGTCTTTTAATAGGGTCATATTAAATATTGGTTATTTTGCCCTAAAACACTTTTAATATTGGCTTCATGGGAAACACATGTGCAGGACAAGTGCTCACATTTGGTAAAAATGTTAGGTTCACCTAAGCAATAGAATATATTTTTACTCAAAGTATTGTGTTTATATGTTTGCTTTACTAAACTTTTAACTGGAACAGCTTAGCTCTTCCTGTTCCAGTCACTCTCGTTGCTATTTTGGCTAGCTTTTGTGGTTGGTCAGAGAGCTTTGCTTGCATCTAACGGTAACATACATGTCAATGTACATAAGTTAGCTCAGGCATAGCAGTTGCAGTTGCATCAGCTTATCGACTTTCACGCTTCACCTTCATTCGTACTTTTTACATCAGCAGATTGTCTTTCGGACTAGTAACCAAACGTATTTCTACACTGTACACTTTCTACATGAACAATACATTTCATGTCACATCAAGTTTTTAAGCAATTAAGAAACTTACAGAAGTGTCTACTCGCAGCCTCATTTTGATATTGAACAGTGGGGAGAACTCGAGGAGAGGACATGGACTGTATGAAACATGGACACAGTGTCCTTGACGTCAACCATAGTTGAAGAGTAAAGTTTAATTTGGGTGGGCTTAAGCCATCAGCATATTGCCAGTGCCTGACTCTCCTAACTCGTGGCTAATCCAAAGATAGGTGCCAAAAGACATCTCTCCTGCTTACCAACAGCTCTTGTTGACTAATCTGATAATACGTAGTCGATGTCACTTTTATTGAATCATTGATATGTCATCTTGGAACAATATACCAGAAATACTCTGCAGCCTTTGACCTTCTGTTATCAGTACCTTTGTATGAATTTTCCATTGAGATCTATATTTAAACTTTTCATAACTTTACTCTAGTTAAACATGAGTGCAACATCAAACCAAGGGAATCATCCATCCATGCTCCAGACCTCCTCGCTACATCACACATGTTAGCTCTTTCCTCACTGGTGACCCAGAAACAGAGGTTTTTTCAGTTGTCTACACTTCCACTGAATGTGTGAGTGAGTGTGTGTTTTTTATGTTCTTATATTCCAGTGAATACTTCAACCTGAATGAACACTAACCCTTGGGGACTCATGTCACACTCCCTAAGGTAAGAGACTGCTATTTGAGGGTTAAAACTTGATTTTAGGGTTTAAGCCAGTGTCAGGTTTGGGGTATTGTTAGGGTTAGAGTATGGCATGTAGTTGTGATGGTTAGGGTAAGGGGCTAGGCAATGCATTATGTCAATGAGAGGTCCCCATAGTGGAACGTGTGTGTATGTATATGGAGATTTGATGAAAGCATGCTTTTATAAAACCTTACAGGGTTTTTATGTCTCTCGCAACAACAAAAAAACAGCTAAGACAGCTAAAGGGATGATGTTACATCACATTTAGACTCATTATGTCATTCTCCTTTTGTACATTGTACAGGGTCATGACATTACATTTATTCATTTATCTGACGCTTTTATCCAAAGTGACTTACAATTGCTATATATGTCAGAGGTCGCACGCATCTGGAGCACATTGGTGGATGTGTCACAGTGGGGAACTGAACCACCTCTCACACCAAAGGCATGTATCTTATCCACTGTTCCACCACACAACTCGATGAGCATGAGCAAAATAATATCTTACAAAAGATTATCCATTCATTCAATCAAAGACACTGAAAGGTGGTGGGTGAAATTGCAGAGCAGATTACATTCCTTAGAGGACTGCTCCTAATAATTCTACTGATCATAACCTAACCTCTTGAAGGACCACCATTGCCTTTCCCCTTTCCCCTTGGGAAGGCATGGTGCTATATCTCAAAGGTCAGAATGCAGTGAAATGTGCTGTGCTTGCCAGAGGATGAACTTTTCTCTAGTGCCCTTATCAGCCACCGGTACCACCCAGTTTACTGCTGGCAGTGAGCTGGATATAAAAGTTTAAAGGTGTTTTGGAGAGAGGTTGACAGTACTAAAGATGAGGAGAAGAAGGCATCATTAGAAGCACTGAGCTCCCCAGAGGAGGATCCCTTTTGGTTTAATGACCTTGTGATTTTCCTTTTGCATCAGTTTGAGCAACAATTTTGTATGTGGGGTGTAATGAACATTCGGCAACTTTCATCTTAGAATGGCAACATATTGCAAAATTTAATAACTGGAGTGTTTGGTGGGGTTAGAGATGCTTTCCATATTGAGAAATGTTGATCGGGTTTTTGAGTTCTACCTGTACTAGTTGTAAATGAGCGCCATTAAAGTAAATATGTTACCTGTACTTTAGCTAAAAATAACAGATTTCAGGTTTAAAGTAACATTAAATATCTAGGACTGAACTAAATTTTTAAAAGCTTTGTGCAGACACACACAAAGGGAATAGGTATTATGTAATGACCTTATTTTTTAATATTGTCCTTACTTTCACAACCAATTTTTCAAGGGCAGGGTCGGAGGGCAGACCATAATTCATATGATTTTGCAAAGAATAAAAGTGAAACATGCTGTTATAGAAGCTGCAAGGAACATAGAAGTCGGGTCCAAAAAACGACCTCAGTGTGTTCTTTTAGGGACAACCATCCCACACTGTTTCTATTTGTATTCAATGATATTTCTTTTTCAGTAGTACTTTAGTTATCACCATGAACAAAATGTCAAACTTGGCAAAGGACTGTAAGAATTATGGAAGGTTTATTTTGCTTGTCCAGTTGTTAATTACAAAATTATCTTACTGCACTTGCAGATAATTTTGCTCATAAGTTTCCTGGAAAGCAACTAGATTTTCTTTTCTTTAGACAAGTTTTATGCTTGTTTTTGCCTCTTGAAGTATTTTCTTTGTTTCAAGGCTTTCATCTTCTAAGAGGTTGTATTGGCATGTTTAAAGTGAAATTACTTGAAATCAGCAAGATTAACGTTTCATATGGGGCATTGTTTGATTAAGAATGGCGCAATGAAGAATAATTTGATAGTTCTGGACACAGGATAATAATTCACTTGTGCACTTCCAGCATACTTATTAGAAAACACCATCAAATTAGTCTGGGGATAGGTTTTGAAATCTGTTTTTCCAGGGGGTAAAAGCCATTAATTAAAAAGTTTCTATGTTTTGGTCTATGGAAGGTGAAAACTTTAATGTTCATTATCTCAAAACTACACTGAACCCAGCTGGAACCTTATAATTACATTGCTATGGCATGAAATTCTCTCTCCTCCCATCTCCCTCACACACTCTCATCATTTCCTTTATTCAGTGCTGTCTGGAAACCAGCACAGCATAAACACCATGCAAGTAATTTAGACAAACATGAATGAGTACACAAAAAGTGTGCGTGGATGTGATTCAATGGTAAGGTAAGACCTAGAAACAAAATGAAACATTTTTTTTCTCCATCAGGGACTTCTTATATAGACTTATTATAAGTCTGTCTTCCTGTTCCCCAGCGTACTGAACATGGAGTCACTGCTGCTCAGTGCAGTGATGCTGAAACTCAACATATATGTGGGTGAAATATGAAACCAAACCTCCAATTACCACAAACCTCCAAAATCTGTGTATATGAACCACCGGTGGCTACAAATTTGTATTATTTCTAGGGCTGGGCAATATTATCGCATTAACGCAGTTTTTATTAGGCTATTATTAATTATTATTATTTTGAAAGTCTGTTGGTTACTGGCTCTGAATACACATACAGTCAAACACTGGGTCACAGGAGGGGCGGGATGTTGATCAGCCTGCAAATTAGTAAAACAAGCAGCGGAAGGAGGCTTTAGCAGACTACGCTGGATGCAGTGGGAGGATAGATTTGCCATTGCGAAAACAGATTTTTTAGATAAATGTTAACCTGTTGCTCAGAATGTGCCTGTTATGATGCTATGATCGTGGCTCTGGACTCCGCGCCCTGGCAGTGGCAAATAGCTTTGGTTTAATATTTGATTTGATTACATTAATGTTTAAATTGAGATTTAAATAATTGCTACTGCACTTTTGTGTATTTAGCAGTACATTTAAAGTAAGTGCGCAAAACACTATTTAGAATTCATTATTCACATAACAATGCAATTAATCGCAATAAAATTTTTTAATCGTTTCCAGTCCTAATTATTTATTAAAGCAGAACAGAACATGTGTCAGAAATCTGAGAAACAAGACACATCTCATTCACATCACATGAATCATATCTCAGCCCCTCTAACATCTTGCGGCCGCCTGGTGTTTCTCAGTCCCGAGGCTGAGAACCTGCTCGGGATCATCCCTCTGTCTCTGAGTCTCAGTGCCTCTCTGAGCAGAAGACATTTATCAAAGTGTCATGATGGTCTCCCGAGGCCGAATTCCAAAGTTTCCCCTTTTCTTTCTCAGGCCCTTTTCTTTTTCCTCTGTCACCATCCAGAATTCATTTGTTCATGTAAATTATAAGGTGAACTCACCCACTCGCTCCTGAGGCACTCAAAGAAGGAAAACACGCAGGACAAATGAAGTCCTGTCGTTCCTCTAATATGAGTCACAGTGTGTGGTGTTGCTGCTGTATGGAAATGGCAGTGCCTCTGTGAATTTCATTAAAAAAATTTCCTGTTGTATAATCTTACTGGGTGAATAATAATTATATTTAAGCACAAGTCTATGTTAAATATTTCAGAATTAAAGGCACATTAATCCTCCACAGCCTAATACTTTACACAAATGTCAGATTTATCTTCTACATACTGAAGATTTCATGAGATTGTTTTGCTTTTTCACTGGGAAAAATATCTTAACAAATTTGAACAAATTGCTTATGACAGACTTAAGTCCTATTCTGGAGATGACTGTGGAACTCTGATGGGGAATACATTCATGTATCCAATCCAGTGGGATTTGGGGCAACTGTATTGTACTGTCACGCCCACTTTCAAGCAATCAAATCAAATCCCTCCCTACATCATACCTGTCATGGTTTGCCAAGCTTAGACACAGGGACACAGGGGATCTGACCCAGAATGCAGACACCAGATGGAGCAGAAACAGTTTTGTAGTGTTTAAGTAGAAACAACAAAACAAGGTGAACAGGCTTACATGGCGTGATGAGAGAGGTGAGGGTAAGTAACAGGTCAGTAGTCCAACACAAGGCAAACAAATCCAAACAAGGAAGCAGGCAAAAGTCAATGTCCAAACAAGGAAGAAGAGTCCAGAAACACAGGTAAATCCCAAAATAAAAGTACGTGAGACGGGACAGGGCCTTCGACAGCATGCGATGACTCGCCAACTAAAAGAGGAAGAACGCTGACTTAAATATACAAAAAGGGAGGTGATTAAGAGACACAGGTGGAAACAATCAGGGATTAGTAAAATAATCAAACCAGCGAGCAGCAGAAGTCTATTACACAGTTCTAGTCCGGATGATAGAAAAAAGCTTGGATAAGAGCTTTAGGGCAGGCTGTGTATCAAAAGTTTGTGGTTTAGGTTTTTTCACATTTGATTGGTGGTGCTTGTTGGGGCCAGCGTACAGCATGGAAGAAACCTCTGCCTTGAGGACTCAGGGGACTCTTATGTCCTGGGTTGACCTCCCAGTCTGGAGGTACCTCCTAACCATCTACTTCCTGGAGCATTTGA